CGGCGCGCGCCACTATTGACTAAAGAAAAAAGAAGAGACAGTCCGTCCGTTCCGTCAGTCGGTCTCTTTCTCTCTCTGTGTATGTGTATGGTGTGTGTTGAGAGATGCAATGGGTGCGCATACACCATACCCCACATGAATTGAACAACTTCGCCTTGGACCTCTCTCTCCCCGCGACAGACATCCAGACAGAACTTTGCCTCCAGAGAACATCTCTTCACCCACCCACTTCACATGAACCGTTCGGTCGTTCAAGCTAGTAAAAAGATAAACGTGCTATTAAACGCCACTGGAAACACGTAAGGGAAGAGTAGAAAAAAGCATGTGCCCGTACCTGGCAGGTATCTATTATATCCTCCTTCTCCCCGTCTCCGAAACAAGAACATCCGGGGAGATAAAAGCCCACCTTGAACGGGGCGCGTTGAACAATGCCTTTATCATCGCCCAACAAAAGAAACATAAAGGCTAGCTCGAGTGCGGCTTTTCTCCTGTTTCGATGCCTCCATTGCGCGGAGACGGCCTAAAGTCCGAAGCTACTACATCCCACGAGCCTTTTCTTCTTTCGTATCTGAATCCTGCTCTAGTTTGCTTATGGATCCCATCGCGGAAAAGCAAAGAAACGAAACGTTCCCCCCGATGATTAGCTAAATGTCAATCGAACCGGAGCTTTGGATCATTCTTCGTCACCTTTTTTCTTCTTCCGGCTACACTTCTTTACGCCTCTCGATTGATTATCGGTCTCCAAACTTAGCTGAGAAAGAGCAGAGAAAAAGCAGTACAGAGTACAGAACAAGCCTGTCAATATGGATAACCGCGAGATAGAATCTAATAGACCGAAGCATTTCAACGTGGATCGGTCTAGAACCCCCCGATCCCAGAATCCCCTCTCGCTTACCCTGCTCCCCCATCCCAACATATACCATTAAGGTACGAATAGCAACCTTTGTTCCCCCCCTTCCTCCCGTATCCTTCCCCAAACCCTGAACCCTTCCTCCCCTTTCCGTCGCCCGTCCATGCCGGAGAAAGGCACCACCCTCCCCTCTCCCCCCCTCTTTACCATACTCACTGCAAGAGGATTCAAAGAAGCTAGCTAGGTATCAGACAGTGATAAAAGGGCAAGCAAACTTTGGATACCTTACAAACCCCGGAGAGGAGCTAAAGACCGCCAAGCCGTCCAAACACCTCAACGTGAATTCACAACACACATATACAAAGCTTCCCTTTGACGAGGTAATATCTCTATTCGGGCGTCTCCCCTCTATGCCCACTCAAACTCCGAGAACCCGGCTTTCGCAAACGGTAAGTGTTTCTTAAACCACCAATCTCAATAGTCTAGAGAGAATGCGGGAACATATACGGCCCCGTCACGCCCGTCCCTTAATGAAAAAAAGAAGGCGGCATTTCCATCTCCCAAAACCCCGTCTCTCTCTCATTAGCTTTCCCCGTCTCCTCCGCATCTACAGTCTTATGCTTCACTTGACCATCCACCCTTCCTCATTGCCGGGACGTGCTGCCGTAGATGCCCTGATACCCTCTCCTATCCTTCTTGGCTTCTTCGCCACCCCTCCCTTACAGTGAGTGAGTGACCTTTACCTTGCCTGCCCTTGAAGGTGCAAAACAAAAAACCGTTGCCAAAAAAAAAAGTCCGACTTTCCTACAACTCACACCCCCCTCCCCCCTTCCCCTCCCATCCGTCATCCAAGAATAAAGTCCCGAGGGAGCGGAAATCGCGGGGTACGGCGGGCAGAGAAGGCGAGACGCGCGCACGTCTTGCGCCCAGAGCGGTCCTCCTCTCCTCTCTCCCTTGCCTTACTGTGTGTACACTACCATTGCTCTTCATGAATCCTCCGCTCCCCCTCCAAGACAGTCTCTCCAACTTCCTCTACCCCCAAAGACCTGTCCAGGAAGGAAGGGGGGGAAAAGCAACATAGTTTCCGAGATACAACGCTAGCTTTTCCCGATACATACATGATTTCCGCTCCCATCAAGCAACCCTCTTTCGTCAATAGCAACGCCCACTTGTGGTAAAGTTTCCCGGTAAGGCGCACCGTCACGGCAAATCAAGCATCGAGCGGAAGATTATCGGAAAATCAAGGATGGATGAGCGGATGATGTAGATTTAGTGAGGAACAAGTAGGCCTATCCCGGATGTCTATCTACGTCCGACAGAGAGTTGATACCTTCTTGTGGCTATCTCCCCAAAGTGACTACTTCCAGCCACGAGCTGCAGCTAGGAAAACAAGTGTTGTATCGGTATACACAGATTAGAGCTTCCTCCCATCTGCCACAGCCCTTCAGCCTCTCCTTCTCCAAGCAGACCTCCTTCTCAGCTCGCGTGCGCGGATATGAATGGTCCATGTGAGGAATCCAAACCATAAACATATGAACAATCCGGGAGTGGAAGTGTGCAGATACATGGCATCATTTTCTTTTGCGACCGACTAGACGTCAAAAAAAAGGTCTGTAAGAAAGACTCCTATAACACCGCCAGCTTGCCCTCATGTGTTGTTTGGAAAGAACAAAAAAATTATGAACTCCCAGTCTGCCCAAAGGTTTGATTGAATCTCAAGAAACCTACGCCCCAGAATATGCCTCTCTCTTTTCGTGCGCCGTTCGCCCAATGAGGAGCTGGTTGTTCATCCGTGACATGGGGGAAAATGTCCGAACCGTCTTCAAAGCAGAACTCGAGATCTCGTACGTCCAATAGTCGTGGCTGTGAAAGCCTTTGCCAGCGCTTCTCTAATGCTGGCAATCATCAAGTCGTGACGTGGAAAATGCTTTTGCCTCGCGGCAGTGGGCCCGTCGGATTTGCGAATCGAATGGATCGGGGGTGTTGCCGTGGATCCGAACAAGTCCGTCGATAAAAAAGGGGGGAATAAAAAGTCGAGGTTGCGGACGAGCTCACAAGACGACACATTTACTCTTCCCTTCCCTTCTGCCCACTTTGCGACGATAGCGGTCGCCACCCTCCTTGTCGTCGTATCTCGCTCCGGCATCGCCATTGATAGGCCGAGTGCTGCTTCGTCCGCCGGGCTGCGGCCTCGAGGCGGCCTGTCGCTGCCTCCTCAATATTCTGACAACGTCATAGAAGGCCTTCTCGACGTTTATGCAGTTCTTGGCCGAGGCCTCGACGAATTCGCAGCCCAGCTCGCGGGCCAGGGCATGTCCTTCTTGTGTCGAAACTTCTCTCTCGGTGACTCTGTCGCTCTTATTGCCGACCAGCATAATTGGTACAGGCGCTTGTGGGCTGGCTGCAGAGATTGGCGAGCCCGGGTATGACGGTGAGGATGCACATGACTCCTTGACTCGCTGGATCTGATGATGAAACCGCTTGATCCGTGAAAACGAAGATCGTGATGAGATGCTATAGACGAGAACGAATCCTTCTCCATCTCGGATCCATTGATCTCGAAGGGCTGTGTACTCTTCTTGGCCGGCAGTATCGAGAACTTCCAACATGCATGCTTGCCCATCAATGACAACTTGCTTGCGGTACGAATCTTCGATCGTGGGGTCGTACTGTTTTCGGTAGAAAAGCACGGTCAGCGGGCGGCTCTTGGGGGCGATAGCAGCGGGGAAAGGATGGATTTGGGGGAAGGGGTCAAGAGAGAGTCGACGACCGACCGAAGAAAAGAAAGTGACGATGTGATGCGAAGCAAAACGAACAGAAATGGCGACTTACTGTTTCCACGAAGTGTTGCAGGCAGAGCTGGATTGTCAAAGCGGTCTTCCCCACGCCGCCGTCGCCCAGGACCACCAACTTGTACAGCACCATTTTTCCTGCCATGATGGGCAGCTATCTGAGGCGAAGAACGATGGAAAGAAGTCGACTCTTTGTCGTTGGAATAAAGCCGCTCGATTGATGATGAGTAGCGAAAGTCAAAGCGAAGCAGAGATAGAGGGGCGATTCGCGGGGGCGGAACGCGAGGTGGGTGGTGGTGGTGGTGGTTCGTCGGTGATTGTGAAGGTGGTGGTGGTGGAGGAAAAGACGACGAACGCCAGTCGAGAATCGATGATAGAATAGGCAAGGTGAGAAAAAAAAGGGTAAGACAGGTAGGTAAGTACGGATAGGTAAGGTAGGCAAGGTTGGTGGCAGCAAGTGGTAGGTTAGTGGAGGCCGAAAGGTGGTGGTTGTGGTGGACTGGTGGTGGCCGCAGGAAGTTGGGGAGCAAGGTAGGAGCCCAAATCTTGTTGGATTTTGGAGCCCGAGCCCTGGACGTGGACAGTGGACTCTCTCCTCAGCAGACTGGTGGATTGGATCGACCGGACTGGACCCGACAAGCCAGTTAATACGTAGCAGCAGCGACAGCGGTAGTATCAGTAGCGGCGGCAGCAACAAGCACCAACGCAGCACTGTGACTGGGGAGGGGTCGCTCGCGGTGGGTGCCGTCTGTCCCTGCTCTCTTTTTCTCTCTCTTTCTCTCGCTCACCCTCTTCTCTTCGTCTGTCTCTCTGCCTTGGCTTGGCCGGGGCTAAGGTAGGCTGGGCTGATCCGGCAACTGGCAACTGACAGGTTGGCACACGGTCGCGCGTTGCGGATGCGAATCGGTGCGGGCAGCTTAGGTATGTGTATGTACGAGTACAGGACGATTGCGCGCACACAGGCCGTATGACCTCCTGTCTGACCCTCGGGCTTGTTTGGCTTGCTTTTCTCTTTCTTTCCTTCGTCTCGTCTCGTCTCGTCTTGTCGTCTTCTTCGTCTTCTTGGATGGGCAAAAGGTGTGGAGAAATGACAGACACTGACTGGACTGGCGGGTCTAGCTTGGGACCTGGGCTTGTGTTAGATGCTTGGGTTAGGGAGAAGGATGATACCGGGATAAAGGCGAAGCGGAGCGGAGGCGCACAGCCGACTGTTGGCTAGCCCGCCCTTCTCCTGAGAGGCTGTCAACCCTCGTTACCTCCACGCGCCAACCCGAGCCACCCAGCTCTGTATCCGCCGTAACTTGGGTTGGCCGGGATGGGACGGGGAAGGGGACTGAGTGGCAGCGAGAGTGGGAGTGGGAGTGGGAGGGGGTCGACAAGGGGACAGGGGTGTAGGGACGGGTTGGAGACGAGCGAGCGAGCGAGCCACAGCAAGCAGTTCCAATTCCACCGGCTGGTTGGGGTTTGTTGGTAACAGCGTCGACGGCGGCAGCGGCAGCGGCAACAGCACCAGCGGCGCAAAGCAGCAGACAGAAGCAGGCGAGGGTTGCGGTGCTATGCGGTGCGATACGGTACGTACTCTCGAGGGAGCGTAGTACCTAGCGTACGCATGTAGTAAGGTGAGGTGAGGTAAGGCAAGGCAAGGCAGGACAGGGCAGGGTACCTGGATTATTGGTGCTGGCGTCACTTCGGAGAACGTACCTTTGTTGGTGTGTGGTGCGAGGTTGATAGACCACGCAGTAGTGTATTCGTACGCTATCGCAATACCGTAGCGTACGCAGTAGTGGTTCGACCTCGATGAATCGTTTAGTCGTGGTTGGTTCCTTGCGCGTGGTAAGGTAGGCCCAGGTAAGGATATGGGGATATTGAGGCAAGCCGCAATCCGCAATGCGCAAGACGAGGATCGGAATATGGCGTGGATGATGGATTGGCGATTGTCACGGTATGCCGGTAGCGTTGTCGTCCCTCCGAAATGCGGACAAGGGCAAGCTCTGGTCGGCTCGGTTCGTCGTGAGACGTCGGTCGGAGTTGGAGAATGCTGATTCAAGCGAATCAAATGACAGCGACTGGACAAACCTCCAAGTTAGCTCCAAGTCAGTATCACGAGCTATCCCAGTATTGAGATATGAAGATGCCTTTCTCTCGCCCCTTTCCCTGTTCCAATGATGCCTCGACTTCCAGTAAGGAAATTCCAGTATCCGACGATAGGATATGGATAGACCACACGGGACTCTGTACTCCGTACACAATTAGTGTACGCAGTAGTGACCAGTAACCACAGATTGGCGAAGGGATAGGCTGGGCCGATTGAGGAGAAGGCGCTGACGAAAGTGGATTGAGCTGTATGGACGACTGGAGGGGGGAAGGCGAGGCAGCAGGGCAATCAACGGGGTAGGAGGGGCAATGATCAAGGATGAAGCCGGCGACGGAAGACCAGCAAGACGCTGTCTAGTATGCGCTCGGTCCAGCACACGAGGGTGATGTGGAGGGATTGCAAAGGTGAGATGGATGCGTAAACATACCGTTAGTGTTTCTGTCTAAAGACGTGGTGAGGGGGAAAAGGAATGAATCAGCGGGCAAAAAGATTTCAATTCTTAACCCGAGGAGCGGCGGCGGAACAGTGGGCAATGTACAGCCTTGGCCGGTTTGGGATGTCGTTTGAAGGAACCACGTACAAATAGGATTTGAGGTGAGAAGGTGAGTAAGGTGAGGTAAGGTAGGTACGAATGTCAGAAACGATTTGAACGGATAGGTATGCAGCGGGGGACCAAAAAAAAAAAAAAGCGCGCGCACGAAAGCGATGGATGGAATGCGGCGACGTATCCGCACCTGATATAACAAACAAAGGTAACTTGGGTAGCCAGCCAGCAAAGTTGCAACTGCCTCGTTCAAAATAACAACAATAACAACAACCACAACAATTACCTGGGAGGGTGAAGCGAGATAGATTCATCAGGCATTGTTTGGGCAACTCTACTGGCTGTGTGAATGCAGCATGCCTTTCTTCTTCTCGTGATTCTCTGATCATGATGCCAGAGATGAATATCAATGCAATTGTCAGTTGCTTTACCTACGCAGTATGTGTCTGGTGATGTGGTGCCTTCCTTTTTCCACCTACCCCCTCCCCCTTCATGATGGACAAATTTTCTGATTCGCCGAGTTCAATCGCGGCAGGTAGCGAGTAGTTCCTGGTTGCATCCCATTTGGAAAGAAGGAATAGGTTGCTTGTGAATAACACCTCAGGATGCAGGCGAAATGCAGACAGGCTGCAATGGCAGCCCCCAGTATTGAGTACGTACTCCGTACAGGTATCTGGTATGCCTCCTCCGTACCCCAACCTTAATCATGAAAAATGGAAGGAACCAGCATTCCACTGTTCAGCAGCTACGGACAAGGAAGCACGGAAGGTACCTACTTTACCTGACCTATCGTTCCTGCGGTTTTGTATCACGCACACCGTTTCTGGCAAGTTGCTCCAAGCACGCACTTCACCCCAATAAGAAGGTACACAGTACCCGACATCACGTCACAGATTGATAACAAGACGTATGCGTTGAATTTTTGGCCAGCTTGAAACCATGACGGCAAATCGTAAACCACAAACCACAAACCATCAACCGGACGGCCGCCGACAAGCCATGTGGCTGATGTACCCGATGACGCTGGAGCAGAAACAATTCCATGAGGCAAGGTACTAGGTAATTACCAAGCATCTGCTCCAGCCACAACAAGCGTCTCCAAGCTGCCGACGCTCCATGTACGCAGATCCTACCTACCACTAGGTTCTTGAATCAAGAGCGAGGCTGCGAGCCCGCCTTCAATCTGGACGTTGTTATGGAACACAGACGGCTATGGAGATGGAGCCCCAGCCGCGCCGGCCCTGGGCGAGCAAACCCCGCGACACAGAATACGGCGAGGCTCAGCAGCGGATGGGTGCATTTACCCTTTTCGCACCCGTATGTTGTGGACGAGGGATGACGGGGACAAGGACGAGGACGAGGACTCGGCGGATACAGGGACTCATGCCAACAGCCAACCGCCCACTGCCGCCCTACCCTCCATTCGCCGCGGTCAGATTCCTACCTAACTTACGGATACCATGTCAATGGAGAGAAGCTCTCGAGAGTCAAGCTAGGGGTACGGCCCACGGGGTTCCCTGCGCTGTGTAAGGTGACGTTTGCCTGGTCAGGACTACAACGACACCACGCCGGCTTGGGCTCCGATTGCAGCTGCGGGTTGCGAGCTGCATGTTTCCTCCTTCCAACATTAGCGCGGCTGTCCTCAAGAACGAACCGGCTGGTCTTCCATTGGGTCCAATAGACATCCCGCGCTGACGCAGTAGCCCATCTTCCCGCTCAGTCCCGCCCACCCACACATGCTACACTCGCGGGCCAGACACGCCAGAGAGCAGCTTTTTTCTTTAGTTTTTTAAATGCCGTAGGTATCTTCGATGATCGTTCACCACTTCTTTACTAACGGAAACTGTGACATACCCACAGTTGTTTGTCCTTCGCCCTGAATTTACTCGTCTTGTTCTATCTTATCCAGTGCTATCTTCGAAAGTCAACGCGGAATTATTGTGGCACATAGAAACAAAGTTGGTCTCACCCCAGTTGACCGAGGCAGACATATGCCACCGTTCGTTCTTTTCCTCGCGAATGAGGTGGGTACACCGTCGTGGCGGAGGCTATCCCGTCCGAACGGTCGACACCGATACGAATATACCTGGTCCAATTTTGGTCAGCTTTCCAAGGGCAGACTTTGCATCTGCATCTGCGTCTCTTCCATTTCTTCCGATACATGTTCGCCAAGGGGGGGTTTCTTGCCCTCTCGCATTTCATTCGATACACCGTACAAGCTGGACACTGAGCACGATGCTTTTATTTCGTGACTCCAAGTGGTATACTAGGTCATCCAGGCGTTTACCTTCTCGTTGCCTTCGCCGAGCGGCTTCACTCCCCGGTAGAGTCCATGCGACCACTAACTGGGAAGTTGAGCAATAATCGTCGTGCCTGCCTAGTATTTGCGGACAGCCAGACATACCTGGCAGCTGCAGCTACGAGCGCACACTATCGCAAAAATCCAGCTCAAGCTTAACCGTCTGGACCATAGCTTGCTTGCCCCGGTCTGGTATCTGTCTGCGACCCGCCCTAGTCAAGGTCAATCGACTAGTGGTCAGTAGACGACGAGGGAACTGGAGCTGTCCCGGGCCTGGACACGGAGCTGGACCTCGAATTAGGATAACAGGGCAAACATGCCATTGACAACGATTGGAAGAGTCAAGAGATCAACCCTTTCCTAGACCGAGATCCAGGCCAGTCTGGTCCCTCCAAACCACCATCTCTTCACCACAAATCGCTTCATGAATTGCCTGATGATGTGATCTAAACTACTGACCCTAGTTCTCTACCGATACTTAGGGTAGCTACCCCAGTTTATGTGCCTGGTCCCGTCAGCTCGTTGGCCGCCAAGCTATCGACCTAGGTTTAGTAGTTCATGCCGACGGTATATCAGACGTCGCGTTATCAAGCATCATCAACAGAGAAGTCTCAGTCACCGCAAGATGTATCTAAGTCACAAGCATCTGAGGCAACCGAAGCCGTTGGCGTACGAACTTCCGCAGTACAGGCGACAAATTGGAGACGTACAAGTGTACTTCCGTTCATGCACGTGCCGGAGAAGAGAGAAGGAAAACCGTGCCTGCGACCAGTCCTGCCACCTCTATCCGTACCTCTGCCTGACGATGCTGACCATTCGCTCGCAGCAGCAGTCTCGCACCGCTCATGCCACTGCTGAAAACCTAGCCCTTGGCCCGATTTCTACTGGGCAATTCAGATGTGGCTCCCAAAAAGTTGCCCACCGATGCCCACAATGGACACTAGTAATGCATGCACCTCACAGACCAACCGCCCGCTCTCACTCTCATCACCAAGTCGGATCCCTCGCCCAGCAAGGTGCTGACCGAACCTGTAGATGCCGTGATGCCTGCCAGAACGGCTGGGGTCGGGAGGTCCACGTTTACACAGTTCGTGCCTTGCGCTTGTCTGCCACTCTCTGCAGAGTGCAGACTCTCGATCTCCTTGTGCCTGAGGCATCACCTAGGTACAGAAGAATCCAGACATGGGATGACGATTGGGAGCCGCTAAGGCAGTACCGGAACGACACCCCACTCGGCGCCGGCCGCTTCGCCCAATCGGAGGTATCCAGGCGGTACCCACCAAGGACTAACGCCCACATTCTCCAACCACCGCTCGGCCTTTCGACCCCTCCATCTCTTCTCCAAACCGCCGTTTTCACCTTGCCCGAGCCACCCCCGAACCTCTCTCGGTGGTGGTTGGTTGTCGGGTTTCTATTGATTCAGTAAAGAGAATCGGGACAGAGGGGACGCGAAAGGAAAGGGAAAAAACTTTCATCATGCTTGCTCTCCCTTGCAACAGTTGCATATGCTCATCCGGCCCATTCTCGCGACCTGGCGACCGCGGCCCGCCCTGCAAACAGGGTCGGCCTTGGTGCTCGCCAAATAGCTTCCGCAGCACATCAACATCACGAGACGAGACGCCCGGACCAGTTGCTTCGACGTCATTAAGCTATTGTGACTGTGGCTGCGTTTGACCGCCCAATATACGCGGTTGACAGTCTGTGCAAGTAAGAAGAGTTCATTCATCTTATTTCCATGACGGCTTCGAAGACTGTTTGTAGCACAAACTTCGGTTTCGGCCGTACGTACATGGAACGACCTACCTGCTACGGACATAGAGTAGCATACACAATGCAAGCATTCATGTCTCAACCCGTCTCTCTGCCGAGCCGCTGTCTCACCAGCCTCGTGCCAGATCCAGTCTTCCGGGGCGGACTCCGCAAGAGGCTCGCTCGCATGAGATTCTCGCGCTTCTTGCTTTCCGAAACAAAGTATCGAGCCTGATGCCGCACCATGTTAGTTCCCGGCTGCGGCAGCACGGCCCCGTTCAACATGCATTGGCCCAGCTTTTATCCGGGGCTCATTCGGTCTTTGCAATCCCGTCTTCGGCAGTCTTTGCCGTTCCGGTAGGCAAGAGTATGAAGACTCCGTTCTTATGATCTGCTTCTCTAGTGGGACGTCCTCTAAGCCTGGTCTTCGAGTTAGCCGTTCTAACCAACGGTCAACATTTGAGAGGACCAATGATCTAAGTACCTTATTATCGAAGAAAGTTAATTCTTTCTGAGTTATAAATATAAAAATATAGTTTTAATAAAATAATATAATACTTACTTAGTACTTAAATTAAAATATTTTTTAAGCTTATTATAAAAAAAATAACTATATTACTAACTATTTATTATCGAGGTTTATAACGCCGTAATTTTAATTATAATAGCTTTGCTTATAATAAGTAAAAAGTCTAATTATAAATCTTTTAAAAGCCTTTTTTTTAGAGCTATAAAAGCTTTTAAATTAAGTTAAAATACTTATTAAAATATTAATAACTAAACTAACCTTATAATAATAGCTTTAATAAATAAACTAAGAAATAATATTAAAATCCTCGCTAACGTTAAGTACGATTTATAAAAAATAATAACGTAGTTATAATATATTAATAATATATTTTATATTAAAAAGATTATTATTAATATTAATAAAACGAATAGGGCCGTATTAATATAATATTTTAGCTTTTTTTTTATAATTCGAAGATTATAATTTTAAATAGTATTAGAAGTTTATTAAAAAGCTTTTTTAAATATTTTAATATATTTATTATTATTTTTATAATAATAAGATTCTTAATACTTATATACGAGCGTAAGCTACTTATTTTTAAATAGTAATATTAGTTTATTAATAAGTTATCGAAATTACGATTTTAGCGATTTTTTAATAAGGGAGAGGGTAGAATAGAAGAAAGGATAAATAAGAAAAGGGTTAAGGTTAAATAGTACGGAATTCGAGGGTAGGGTAGCGTCTATATATACTGCGGTAATCCTCTAGTAATACAAAACAATAGAGTTAAACAGTGAGGACCAATGATCAGGGCCGAATCAGGCCAGCATCCGGCCGACAAACTGATTGCTTTTTTCACGTCCCCTGTGTCAAGTTGCTTTTCCCTCGGCCTTCGTCACAATTGAGGATGGGTTCGCTGTCACTCCAAGGGCTGAAGCACTCATGTCCAGGTCAGTGTTTGAGCATTCAACGACCATAAGCCGGAGGAGGTTCAAGTCGAGTTGATACAGCCAGAACTCACGAAATTGAATTCTTGGCCAACAATTTCATTATTTACCATTTTTCTACCGCTGCCATTCTACTTGAACGGAACGACGTCTCGAGACGCTCCACCTCTGAAGCCAACATATTATCGAAGAAATTGAGAACTACAATTTCCAAAATCAGGTCTTGTCACCAATTGTCTTATTCTCGCCGTGTCTTTAATTCGGTGAGGCTAAATAAAGAACAGTAACCTCCTAAATTCCCAAATGACACAAAAAATAGGCTGTCTACAGCTTTGTCTATGCCGTCACACTGTATGGATGGAAGCAACGAGACGCCTCGATTCCCGCTGTCTGTCCCCCACGCCCGGATAGAAAGCAAACACGACGTGGAAATTGAAGCCATCCAATCGGACGACTCCCCGCCCTTTCGTGTGTCCTCGGCATTCACTTGTCGTGATCCAAATATATCTCCATTGCCAGACGTCGGCAGGAGACGGTCAACCCAATCACACTAGGCCTCGGGAAACAGATGTTTGAGAAACTGACAAACTCTATGGACAAGCCGACATGGTCGCCGTCCTTATGATCCATATGCACAGCAGTGTGACGTGTCTACGCTGAAGTTCACGAGGGTGGGGGTCTGGAGGCATTAGGAGACGAAAGTCTGGGACGGCCTCCCAGCCCAGTTCAATGCCCATCGCTCAGCTAGCGGAGGCTACAAGATCGTTTGGTTTCAGAACCTTTTCCAAAGTGTGAGTCTATCGCGGCTCACGGCACAGCTTAGACTGAGTGTCCCAAAGAAGTACGGGGCTGCGTCTATCAGAAGTGCTGCAACTCTGCCCTGCCTGCCTGCCTCGGTGCGTTGACTCCGTCAGTCATCACACGAGGCGCGGAGGGAATCGCAGCCACGAGCTTAGGGTCGCTATCTTGAAACACGCGCGGCGAAATGGCACTCCCCTAGACCCAAAAGCCATCACCCGGTAACGAGTCTTATTCTCCCCGGCCCAGGGGGTGCTTGGAGCTGACGTTGAAGCCGGTGCTACATATCACCGGACGGCCTTGGGATGATTAACTCGTGCCGGAAGCAGAGGCCTCGAAACACCAGAAAGCGCGCTAGAAGACTTCCAAGACCATTTGGCGGCATAACAACAGAGTTACACATCTAATCTGTCTTACTTTCGCATCCAGATTATCACAATCTCGTCTTCCCAACTTTGTCAACACTGTGTGCGTTGCCGGCTGATATTTCGAACAACGTAATAATTTGACATCCTCCAATTTCCTTTCGGTTCAAAGGGGGGATCAAGAGGACCCTTTCCCCCTTCTCAAGCCCAACATTTCAATACGAAACACGATATCAAGATTGAGCGTTACCAGCTGCCAAAACATAATGGAGCCCAACCCCTTGACCTAGCATAAGCATAGCTCGGCTGTGCCCGTGTACAACGGCCCGCGGAGGAGGGGGGGCACATGGAGATGGAAGGACGGGATAGAAAAAGAAACGAGACAAGAATAAGAAAAACAAACCGCCTTACAGCCGCGAACGCACGACTAATCAACCCGCCCAATGGATTGCAAAAACAAACAGGCACAATGACATGAATGATAGCATGCCGTACTGCGCAACTTTTTTTCCGGGAGATGATCAAGGATCCGTTTAGCCACGTTCTTCCCATGTTTCCAATATACTTTTGTTTTTCTTTGGCCCTGCCAAGGCCCTCAACTGCCGAGATTTAATGGGATGGGACCATTCAGATGTTTATTGTGGTAAAGTGCAAGAAAGCTACCCTGCCCACCCCTTCCGATCTCATTCCATCGAGAGAGAGGGATGAGTGTTACCACCTTGGTTTGGAGATCAGAGAGGAAGAGAGAGTTATACTGGAGATACGAGCTTGGAGGGTAGGAGAGGAGAGGAGGCTACAGACAGCTTTGCTGCACAGGCAGAATGGACATGGTAGCAATTGGCATCCCACCGCTTCCAACCCCCCACGTCACACTCGCGAGCGTCGTTCTGATCTTAGTGCTGTAACATCGAAGCTACGGGGAAGTGTTGCCTGGATTTGCATGTTACCAGTCGCGTAGACGCAATACAGCAGTTCAGCATTCTTGTTCACGAAGCTATAGAAGAAGAAGAGGGGCGTTATAATTTCCTATCCATCCAAGTGGCGTAGTCGGGGTTTGAGGAATCTCTCCACAGAGCTAATCTGATATACCTACAGAGAGTCGCATTATATTCTAGTAGTCTCAATTCTTGTCTCCATCCAACATCCGTATTATGCGTTCTGGTTTAGCGACAACTTCCCAGTGATGGAGACGTTTCCAGGCACCTTGAAGATGGTACGAGAAGATACCACCTCAGATGAACATCAGGATCACGAAATCAAGATACACGATTAAACCTGGGGGGGGCTCAAGTCAGGTAGTATGGGAATGAGCTTGAACTTTGGGAGGCTGGAAAAGCTGGAAAATTGATCGTTCCCATCGCGCCGGCGCTCAAGATCCGATTCGGTCTTCTTCTCCGTGTAGAGTCGCCTTCCGAGCACCAGGCAGCAGCACGGTGCCACCCCGCTTCCTCCTCCCCCCACCCCCCGCGGTGCACGGTGGTGTCGTCCCGGACGCCCGGGCTTCCGAGAAATAGAGAACCGTGGACGACGACATCTCGGGAAGAAGACCGTCTGCGTGTATGTGTGTTCCGCCGATGCGGCCCGATCTTACGTCGCGTACGGAGAGGTGTCACTCTGATCATTTAAGAGATTGCTACGTACGTTGCCATGGATTGGCGGCTGGTTGCCCGACCAGTCTTATGGACTAGATGGTACTGGAAGATATGGGAGATGAGGTAAGAGTCGAATGATGCCGTGTAAAGGAGAGGTTGAAATTAGAATCTGAGGAAATGTTACTCGGCAGGGGGAGGCTGGGCCGTACTTGTTTCTTTTTCAACTGGACAGTCGGCTATAATGGATGCTCAGCTTAAGCAATTTTGCTCATGTTGTACGGCGAGTTCCCGATTTGACGTTGTCAGATTTACGTCCGTAATGCAGGCCCGGACAGCGGGCTCGATGACATCTGCCTCACACCCAATTCGTCTTTTCTTTGCTCTGGTCTCCACACGAGCTATCTCTCTGCACCCTCCACGGTTCTTCTCGGGCGTAAGGCTGATAGCTTGTCACTCGAACTTCGGACACACCGTGTCGTTGGGCAGCTCCTTTTTCCTTGATGTACTGCGGGATATGACATGCAGCTCTGCAGATCTGCCGCTGTCTATCCCTGGTCTCACCATTCGACGTAGACGTTTTACGGGATTTTCGCATCTGCCTACAGGTAGGTGAGACATTTGGGGCTAAGTTCACCAAGGAAGAATTATACGAGAAGAAAGGGGGTTCCTGCAGGAAGGTTGCAGGAGACAGATGGTTCTTATTTTCTTGCGGCTGAGAGTGGAGAGGGCCTTGGAGGGGGTGGCATGGAAGGGTATGGGACTTTAGAGCCAAGCTTTCTAGGTGGGTGACAGACAAGGCTTTGTTACTACTAAGTGTGTGTGGGAAGCCAATTTTGGTGGTGTGGTGATGTGTTTAGAGTGCTTGGCGCACACTTTTGCTGGCATGGTCAGGAAGCAGTGATGGACTTCATGTAAAGTTGTTCTTGCCTGATACGTTAACCATCTGCTCGCTCGTGACTCTGTCGAAGACGGATAAGTAGGCAACAAGATATTTCCTCTTAGTTGCCCTTATCTTCGTGAGATGGTATTTGGTAGATGATTCTGTCGGTTTTCGTATCTTTGCCTGACTTTTTCTATGCCATGTTTGAGTCGACACGGATCCTTGTGTATATTCGAAATAAATCTCGTAGTGCCTCATAAGGCGACTCTGTGGTGACTATGCAAACTTGACCAAGAGTGCCTCTTGCCGCCATATAGTCTCACTCATGTGTCTACTCCGTGCCTTGTACTTCTCAGACATTGGCATTTCCGGCATACCTATTTAAGCAATGTCAGTCTGTTCCATCTTACAAGCGTCTCTTTGGCAGGATGTGAGATTTTTGGATCTGCAGAGAGACCAGCATAATGGTCCTTTATTTCTCTGAACCTAGTTCCAACCAGTTCTAAAATGTAAGAGATGATAAACATGTGGTTGTCACTTCCAGATCAAGAAATCCTAACCACCAGTGTTCACCACTCATCTCTGAATGAGTATTCATCTCGACTACACTAGAGAATACGAGGGGAAGTCGCGAGTGACGTAGGATCGTGTACGGAAACAGATATGGCTAGACTTATTTGAAATATGCTGTGGTGGCTGGCACTGCAAAGGCGATTCTCACGGGTGAGTACAGGTCGGACCACCTCGTGATGAACTCGAACTGGTTCGAAGAACCCACTGGATTAAGATGGGTATGTCGTATATATAGCGTAATGTACAACGTTCAGGAAGAGCCATAGCGGCGGGCTCACATGAACCTCCCAGACTCTCACAAATAGAGATGTTCTAAGTTATCTGCAACAGTATGATGGCTATGTCGCAGCTACTTACATATAGGATCATTTCCTCTACTCCTTTGTGGCTTCATGTTGGATGATGCCAGGCGACGGACGCAGAGGCCGCACGTTTCAGCGCCCCACGACTTATTTCTAGCTAGCTTGGTAAGAATACGGCTGCTCTATCAAGTTATCTAGCCTTGATAGCACGGAAAGCTAACTGTGCTTTGAACATACCACGCGATTCGACCTCACGGCCATCTCATCCCTGACGTCGAGGGTGCATAGGGACGAGGAACACCAAAGAGCCATGTTTCCTTACGGGAAAAAGATGCACGAAATCAAGTCAATTCGAAGCACCGCGGCTTCACGTGATGACGGGAAGTCGGAGGGTGAGCATCATCATGTTATCCGAAGTTATTAGTATGCGGTTTCGACTAACATGTATTCCCATGAGCTAAGAGGTCATAATTCTTTTGCTGAGTATCTATCATTCCCGAGCTAAATTTCTGGAGGAAATTTTCCTCTTTCCAATCACTCAAAGGAATCGTGAACTGTAGAGTATGAGGTTCAGCATGCTGAACCATCGATCTCCCTCCGTCGTCAATGTCCCCCATCATCTAGGTTTGCTCTTCCGACATCCTGGTCGAAGAACTTTCGTCCTGCACGCGAGCATGACCTTTCCATGAGAACGGGAACAAATTTACTGAATATTGTTGTCCAAATTATTCAAGTATCTTAGGACAGGAATGCCATGTACTGGCGGAGAAAACTGCAGTTTGCGCGTACATCGTGGGCGATGGTGGGACCGCTAAGGTACTTATTTGAGTTTTTTCGGACAATAGACATCCACATCCGATATGGTGTAGTGGCCAACATGATGCCCTCTCATCCCTGTGGG